AGTATGGGTAAATCAGGTATATGATTTGACATTAACTAGACGTGTTTATTTGTCGACTATGAGGATCAAAGCGCTGCAGCCGCTCTTCAACATCGGAATCAGTTTCCAGCGACACTCTTTATTTGCTCACACGTGAGCCCGGCAGCTCTTACGCCATTTTCTACAGTCCTTATTCAACTGCACTATGGATCGTAAGGTATGAAAGCGGAATTTTTACTTTAATTAATTTACATCGATTTTTTATACTAAATTATTTTTCTAATTTTTTGTCTTTTGCTCTGTATTTCAATTTCTACTAGTTTCATTAATCTGGTTTACCTAGTGTTTAATAGTTATATAGCTTCTTGATTTGGTTTCTCTACTGTGTTTTCGTTTTGCTTTATTGAATGCGTTTACTAGCCTTATATTTAAACAAAACCTGGAGAACGTTGGTGCTAACTTTTGCCTGACTCCTACTCATGCTGATCTCCCAGCTTAGTTGAACCTTCCAGGAGTTTACACTCCCGCTGGTATAAAAAAAAATTTTGGGGAGGGGGGAGGGAGGTTGTCAGGGTACACCATATGCCACGACAAGGGTCAAGCACCGGATGGCTTCGCATTTTTCTCTTTGCGAATTATGTGTGTGCTTAATTTTCTTTTTTCCGATGCGCATCATTCTGGGAACCAATCAAAAACACGTTAGCAAAAAATATACGGTTTTAAAATTAGTTTTCAAATCATGTAAGATTAAATGATAATTATACGTTTTGTGTTCGCTGCTTAAACTTATTGAACTGTGTTTAGCTAATCACATCAATTTTTGTTAACTCACAAGAACACATTTGAAATTGTTATATAGGTAAAATTCAATTATGTTGAGAAGATATGTTATCAATGCAAAGAATATTATTTTATTTAAAACTGTAGGATATTGAGAGTTTTCGCCATTTTATACCTACCTACTTTATCGTTTAAGGAATATAAAATATATTGTGGTCGTGATGAAATTGTATTCGCATTTTTCTATCAACATAAGAGCGATTTCCGGTATCGGAACTGGAACTTTACTCTTTTCAAATAGGAACACAATAACTTTCAAAATGTTGCAGTTACATAGATACAATTTCATATATACACCTAAATCACATATGATTTTAAATAATGTCCGTTATCTGTAAGTATTATTAATTAACTCTATTCGTAGCTTCATCAAAATACAAACAACTTGAGTAGGCTTACTGTTTTAATTAGATAGACGAAATATCATACGTAGTTATATGATCTAATTGCTACTTTCTTTAAAACTGTGAGTGATTTCTGATGACCGATAGTAGTTCTTGATAAATTTCATATTAATCATAAGAGGTAATCAATGTTTCTTTAGAAAGTACTAATTTTCAACTGTTTGCGTTCTTTAGGTGTGCAATTCTTTTTTGGCGCGATACTTTTCGATTTGAAAAATTTAAGAATTAAAAAAATATGAGAACGCACAATTTCATACCATTGAAACAGTAGCCTAATTGTTCGTTTTTCTATAATAAAAAAAGCTTTCATGTTTAATCTCGAGCTTTCATAAAATATAATAGCCCGCACCAGCGTTAGGTTATGACAATAATATGAGATGATTTTAGCGTTAAATAAACCGGGAGTAATCTCCCCTAAACTTTCTCGAATATTATGTAACACTACGGGGGGTGGCAACTTGGGATATAGACATGATTTTTAACTACTTATACTTTTCAAAAAATAATGGACTCTCGTAGAAAAAGAACCAAATGAACGCTAAATAATATGTGTATAACAGTGGCGGAACTAGAAAAAAGGGGCCACCCCGCAAAGAATTTGTTTGCCCCCCCCCATATATGTATATGTATATATATATATATATATATATGTATATATATATATATATATATATATATATATATATATATATATATATATATATATATATATATATAACACGCTATCATACGTGTATTTAATTGAAACGTTTGCCTTGTTTTCTAGAACAGTGGTTATTAAATGTAAACAATGTCGGCACTTTATTTCTTGGATATTAGTTGTTGGAGCGCTAGTTTGTCAACACTACCACCGATACAAACCAGCTTAGTTGTTGAGGCGCTATCTATTCGCTTCTTGTAAGGCTAAGAGCGCGAGGGGAGGTCTGAGAAAGGAACTTAAAAGGGACAACAAAGCACCGATGTGCTTTTATCCATCAGTACCAAATTTGGGATGGTCTCAAAAAGCCGTCTTAATATCTAGCGGCCTTTCGCACAATTGATGTTTTTTTCAAAAGAATTTTGCCGACAACAGCGTGTGTTTGATTGTAGGAAAAAGAATATACAAGAGCATGGGATGGTGTCTATAGAATAAAGATACTCCAACCGCAGCTACAGTATTCTTTTTTTCAAAACAACCATCAGGTCAAAAATGCAAGAAAATTAATTTTAAATTAAAAAAAAAATTATTATGGGCGGCTGTGGGCCCCCTAAACGGCGTGGGCCACCCCCCCCCCCCCCGCATTGTGGGGTCTGGCGGCACTGTAGTTCCGCCCTTGGTGTATAATAGTACGGAACATTATAAGTACTTTATACATTCACACGCGTTTGTTTAGAAATCGGAAAAACTTAATTTACTATTTCCGTTAAACGGAAATTACTCAAATCTTGCTATACATTGTGGTTTTTGTTTTTTCTATGAAATAGTATAAATATTATTTCAAAACAACTACTTTAATAAGTTACCTCCCCTGTATATATACCGAATGACTTATTCTTTGTTTACTATTTCATAAACAATGTTTTATCTGGACAAATCTAACGACCCTTAGGATTTTCTTCCGACGCAAATAATGTGCTTTTGTTCCCTTCAGGGTCGGTCTACGACCTCACAAAACATTAGGGGGATTGTTCTTCAATTTATTTATATATATCTCATATAATGAGAATTTTAATCGCGGTCATTGTTTGGCCCTCGTCGAAGGTTTTTAGTCCAACTGACAGTTATTCCTTACGGCCAAGTCAACTATAGAGGGACATACAAAAAATTAGCCAGATGCAGAGTGGTTAAATACCTTAAAATTTGTATTGAATTTATCCTCTTTTTCCCATAAAATACAAAGATTATATAGGGAAGTACTTCTGGTAAGGTTTGACCACTTTACGAAGTATTCCCAGATATGCCGAGTTTTTTCTGACACCCCTAGGTGTTCCTCTACCACCTCACAAAATATCAAGGGGGGTCGTTCGGCAAAAGGTTTTTCGTAATATAGCTCATATAAGGCGCCGGTCAGTCGAGGTCATCCATTCATCCGATCGCCATCTTACTTTGGTGAGTTCATTAGAACATTTTTAATTTCACAAGGGCGGCGCCACGGAAGGATGTGATTTTCCTCTATATCTGGTATATAAAAATAATAAAAGTGAATTGCAGTGACGCCGTTCATCCGATAGGCATGAAACTTTGGGAAGAAGTTGAATTTATTCCTGGGGAGGTTTCCGCGCAAAATCATTTTCAAATTCGCAGGGTGGCGCCCTCTGTTTTTTCTCTGTATACGATATATAAAAACAAATGTCAATTGCTGTCTCACAACGTTCATCAAACTTTAGGGACTTCATTAGAACACTCCTGGGAAGGGTTCTGTAAAAAATCATTTTAAAAATTCGCAAAGGTGGCGCCACGGTATGGTGGGATTTTTCTCAATATACGGTATATACAAATAAAAGACTTTTGCGTTCGACGCAATTTATCCCGGTGCCATAAAACTTTAGGGAGTTGATGAATACTCCCGAGAAGGTTTCTGGGGTGGGAGGGGGGAATAGGGGTATGTGGGTGGTGGATGCGGGGTATTTAATTTTGCATGCCCCCCCCCGGCAGGATGCGATTTGGCGCCCTGGTCTTTCCCGTGAGCGCTATGGTTAGTACATTCTGTCTAAACAGTGTGACAGACAATGGATAGGATAGGGCGTTACAAACGCTTACTAAATTGAATCAGGCGTGTCCCCTGGCGCCCTGGTAAATTGCGATTAGGCTGCAAATAAAAATGTCTGTTTTGGCCCCAAAGGCTCACATGGGCCGCTTAGGGCCATGTAATACGTTTTATTTTAATAATCAAAACAATTAACCAAGGTTAGATTATTAACTGGGATGTTTCTTTTTGTCCGTAAAAAATCCAAACGGTTTCGTCACTTTGCGAATGATGCAATTAGCATCTATTTTTAGATAATCCAAACAGAAATTGAGATCGAGCGTCTAAGAATAGACCATTACTAACGCTAACAAATTGCATCAGTCACACTGATGTTTAAAACGCGTCAAATATTTTTTTTTACGTGTTAAATAACAAATCCTGTTCATTTGTGTCACTTTAGTGAATGACGCAATATGAATCATTGTTAACAGGATGCTATTTTAAGGAGCCAGGTGTCGTAGTGTAATCGGGGGGGGGGGGGGCCTCCTGAGAGCGGGCCTCTACGTCTCTAACACATGGGCGGTCACCGTAGTGTGTTCTACCATATTATTTCGGTGAGTGATTAATATACACTCAAGGTTTTCATGCGGTAAGTAGGTAAACCCGTGTCCTGATATTTATGATCCAAACGCAGGCATTGTTTACATTTAAATAACTGATTTTTAGAAAAGACGGTCACGCGTCTAAGAACATATGATTGGTAACGCATTGGTGAAATCCTTCTAATATATTTCGTCAAACTTTCTTCTATTCCCGCGGCAACGCGCGGGGGTCGGGTACGCTAGTATATATATAGTATATATATATATATATATATATATATATATATATATATATATATATATATATATATATATATATATATATATCTTGTATATAATCCAATTCAATATGTATAATAATCAAACGTCTTTTGCAGATCCAGGTAGGAACGACGACAAAGAGAATTAAAAATATCAATAAATATTGTCTAGCTGTCGGAGGTGGTCTCACATTAATTTCATTCCTGTTTATTTATGTGGCCCCCAGTCATTTAAAAGCCCTAAATATGATAACAGGCAATATACAGAGCACCCGTCTAAAAAGGCTACCAAAGGATTTAAGCTATGTGAATACAACCGACCAAGCAATTAATATGTGAGTTGAATGAACTCTTAATTTTATCTTACATTTAAGGGTAAGAAGACCCAGAGTAATAAAATTTAAATCTAAAAATTCATATTTCTTATTTCAGAAGAAGTATCTTTTAGCTATCTATTTCTAACATTTACCTTATGTAGAAATGTAACACAGCAACAAAACATTTTTAAAGCCTGAAAAAGAACTAGACTCTAGATCAAAATATAAATTACTAATAATATTCCGCACTATTATACAATTTTTTTGGCGTTCACTTAGTGCGCAATTATTTTTTATACGAGATTCTATTCTATTTTTAAAAAGTTTAAGTAATTAATAAACCGGGAGTGATCTCCCCTAAACTTTCTCGAATATTCTAATACTAGCCATCGGTACCCGTTTCACGTGAATTATAGGCCTATATATTTTAAAATGTACTTGTTTGAGAAAAATAATTTATGAAAAAGTTATTGGTCAAAACGCAATGTGCTTTACTACACGCTGAACGATATTAGTGACAAAGCAAAAATAATAACTAATTAGCTAAAAATCCGACACATTTAACATAACACAGGCACACACCGATTAAGCGACTTAAAAATCTGGTTATTCAATTGTCATTAGTCATTACGCTGTTTTTAAGTAATTTGTATTAGTTTGACCGATGAAATTATATGTTTCATAGTGTACGTCTTGATGAGTAGATCTATAGATCTAGATCTAAATCAAATTTGAATGAAGTAGTTCCTTTCTTTATCGTCTAAAATCGGAAGATTCACACACAAAAAAAAAAACAATAAAAAATTAAGTTTGACTTGGTGAATCTCGATCGCGCACCACCTGCGTGGTATTAAGTACACTTTCATCTCAGCTATTTATGCACCTTAGGAAATACGCAGAATTAAAGGCGTATCTAAAAAAACTTAACTTACGTGAATATACCTATTCTTTCAAATAATTTTTGTAACCCAAATTAGCCAGTTCCATACAAACAAACAAAGATTTCTGTAAAACAATTAAAAGTAAAAATGGATTAAAATTATTGTCTATATCACAAATTGCCATCTCCTGGAATTTTAGATTAGAATATTTGAGAAAATTTAGGGGAGATCACTCCCGGTTTATTTTAGTAATAAAAACACTGGACATATGTTTTCTCCAAAAAAGCACACCTTTTTACTTTCTCGGATATACGAAGTGTAGAGAAAGTATTGTAATCGTGCAAAAAAAAAATCGAGATTTTTACAAATCTCGACGTTATACACCTCACTGATACGGGAAAACATAATTTTGCAATCTTGTCCGTATGTCTGTGTGTGTGTCTGTCTGTCTGTGTGTCCGTGTGTAAACACGATATATTGAGTACCGTTAGAGCTAGGTTGATGAAATTTCATATATAGGTATTTTATCAAAATCGTAGATCCTGATCAACTTTTGAGCGATTTCCGATAACCGGAAGTGGTACTTTTTCTACTTTGAATTTTTCAAAAGCCTATAACGTAAGTACAATTTCAGATAGATAAATGAAATTTCACATGTAAGTAAAAAATCAAATTCACTACCTCCTTTCAAATTTTGAGTAATTTCCGTTGACCGGAAGTATTAGTTTACGCTATTTCCGATTTCTCGAAAAACGCACATAAATTTATAAAGTACTAATAATATTGCGCACTATTATGCAAATTTTTTTGGCGTTCGCTTGGTACGCAATTCTTTTTTCTACTAGATTTTATTCTATTTTTAAAAGTTTAAGTAAATAAAAATCATGTCTATATTCCGAGTTGCCATACATATTAATATTATTTTTATATGTCGCTTGAACTTGTTGAACTTACATTTAAACTTTAACGCTCAGAAACGAAGCTTTATTCTTAAAAACAGTTTAACAAAAAATATTGATAACTTTATTTTTTTATTCAGCAGAGGTTTAAAACAGTCAGCTCATACAAACAACTTCCAGCCAATCAACGATAAAGATGGCTGGGTTTACTCAGCCTTCTATGACGAAATAGGACCAAATTTGACAGTGATTAGAGTAATCGGAGTGGCTTTACTCAAACAAAATATAGTCCACTGTCATCTTAGTTCAGATGGACACAAAACAATTGATATAGGCAATTTTACAATTTTACCAGATAATCATAGCAAAACGTAAGAACTTTTAATCGACTCTAAAGAAAAATATTTACTACAATTTTAAAATATTATTATATTATACCTTCTGTCTTCATTATGGTAAATGATAAAAAATAGAACTGCTCGCAAGTTACTTTCAATTACTGATAATTCTCTTTGTGTTGCTACTATATGTGCCCAAAAACACTACCATAAACATAACCTTGTCTTTGAATTCAGTTATTGTTACATATATTATTTTTGCTACTTTATTTTAAGTCTAATTTAATACCCAGCGCAACGCATGTTTAGTTAACATTTTTAACAAGCCAAAAATTGATCGCTTTTTAATTTTTGCATAACTAACTAAATCGGATATGAAGACTTCGAAAATATGCTGTCTGAATTATCTACAAACAATTGTGTAAATAACATATCATTTAATATAGTTTAATTATAATATAAATGGTCAACTGTATAATCAGAACTGAGCCTGATACGGCGTGTACGGGTCGGTAAAGCTCATAGCTGCTAACGCGAAAGTCACGAATTCTAACCGCCGGGTAATAAGGTTTGATAGCGGAGACAGCAAGCCATCTAGGAGAAATGCTCTGTATTACATAGATTTTAGAATATTTAAACAATTGTGTTTCTAGCAACATAATATGATCTTGTTCTACAGTACTTTTATAACAATTGGTGGATCAATTTAAAATTAATTTGTGTTACAGGTATACAGCGATGATGATTGAGTGTGTTGTACACAAAAATTTTAAGCCAACGGCCATATCTATCACATTTGATGATAACGTCACTTCGAGGAATCTTGTAGAGATTACGTACCCTAAACAGAAAGAGAGAAACTTTACAGTGTGTTTCGCCGTTTTCTTCAGATACAATAGCATCACCAGGATCATCCAGGCTATTGAGATTAACAGAATCCTTGGAGCCCAACATTTCTTTATCTACAACTACAGCATCTCTCATGAAGTGGACGTAATGCTGCGTCACTATCAGGATGAAGGTATCCTCACTGTCCTGCAGTGGCCGTTACCTTTACCTATTATCTCAGAGATTTGGTACTACGGTCAGATGAGCGCGGTCAACGACTGTGTGTACCGCAACAGATTCGTTTCACAGTACGTGGTCATACAAGATACTGACGAATTCATCATACCAAACCATCACATGACCTGGTCAGACCTGATCGAGGCAGCTGAACTTGAATATCAAAGTCAACACAAGGCCAATGCAACAACTTTGGGGTCTTTTACTTTCGAATCTGCTTATTTTCAGAGTTTGTCAAACTCCACCTTGTGGGAGGAGATCAAGAAAAATTTCTCTATCACAGCAGAAGAGGAAACATTCTTTAAAAGCCATTTAATTTTTCCATTTTACCAGGTTGAAAGACAATATAATGTTTACAAGTTTAAGTTGAGAACGAAAACCATTGTAAGGCCAGAACGCATTATTGTAAGCGGAATCCACTACACACACACACACAGGGACAGAGTTACCCACACTGTGGTAAGCAACCATTTGGCCATTGTTCATCATCACAGGAATATAAAACCTTGCAACATCACAGATACGTCAGCACTTAGATTTAAACAACTCACATACCCGTTGCTGGTAACTAAATTCAAGAAATCATCTCACAAATTTAAGCAAAATGACCAGTCATAGTGAATAGAAAATCACCCATGTAACATCAATTACATTTAGTGAACTCAAAAATAGACACGATATTAAAAATAATATTTTAAAAAACAAATTGCAAACTTTATGAGGCTGACTTTAACGTATACAATATGTATCGCTGATATTTCGTACATTAACAGCATCATAACTATTATTTTTTTTTTAGAAGATTGCCAACCAACTGGGACCACGTACATTTTCAAAAATAAAGATTACTATAAAGATGATTTATAACTTTGAAAACCATATAATTTGCCCCTTGAGCTTTTGCTATATTTTCAAAAAGTTCGCCATTTCAACTGTAAAAAAAACAATCAGACCAGTTATTTTAAAATGATAAACACTTTTTATCGGTATTTAATATGCACAATATCTAGTGTAATTTATTTTTAATACTGATTTTGTAATTAATTTCGACAATTAAAATTTGTACTTTTTTAAGAGTAAAAAAAAATGACAAAAGTATTGAAATTTTCAATAAACTAGATTGTATGGCAAATAAATCTTGAAGTGTTTTTCTGTTATAATTATCTTATATAGTTTTGTTGTACTTCACTTTCACTTTATTTAAGAACCTCTATGCATCAACTAAATTCCGAGCCAAGCTGATGTTGAAAGATTTTCTTTAACATACAACACATTGTCTCGAACATATTCGTTTTCATTTGTTTTTTTTTAAAATACAAATAACATTATTTTTATTGACCCACAATGTATACTATTTTTATTTCCTTTTTTGCATTTAGAAACCAATTCCTGTACACATATAACTGGTTATAACATAATATGTGGTCTGTCATTTTCCTTGAACAATATGTTAGAAATAACACGACTAGCAACAAGGAGGTAATTAAAAAGTTATGTTTCTTTCAAACGATATCTTTCAGTTCAAAATCTTTTAGTTAACTGCTGTGTATATTTACTGAATCATTCAACAGAGAAATAAACATCACTCCGTCTGAAGTGTTTAGAGTCGTTATAAAAGGAGAAACAAGTAGGCCTACCAAAGAGGAATAGTATCATATTACAAAAACCGTTTCTACTGTAGCAGCTCACCTCTGACATCTATCAAACGCTACACAATCATGCAGCACTTAAACGTTTGGCATATCGCATGTTTTATACCCCCCACTATGGCGCCTATACTTAACGACATTACTAAACGACGTACAACTTATGACACAGAACAGACTGCTAATGCTTTTTTCAATTTCTTTAAATGCTCACTTTAATATATGGTTCAGACACATATATTTATTACATGTCTCTGTTTACAGATTTCAGTAATTAGAGCGGATGGGGGTGAAATTTTTTTCCTAAGGGTGAAGTGGGTCCAACATGTTTGGGAAACACTGCTATAATCAGATGACCTGTTTAACAGTTTAGAAGCCGCTCCTAAATGCCCTATATGTTTACTTATATCTTTCAGTTTGCGGACAAGCTGGGGGTACTATAGTCGTTCACTAAATTGAATCAGGCACGTCTGCAGGCGCCCCTATTTGGCGCCCTGGACCTTCCGTGAGTAATATGGTGCATACGTTCATTTTAAACAGTGCGATAGACTATGGATAAGAAAGGTTACTATAGTACCTAAATACATCGAATCCAGAGCGTCGTCCGACACTCCCACATGGTGCTATTTGGCGCCCCGAGCCTTTCCATGAGCGCTATGGATATTGAACAGCAATTTTGAATTCACTCTGGCGAATTTCTCTTTATGGTCTTACGTTTTTTTACTAGTTAAATTTTGTAATACTACCTTGTTATAATAACAAGAAAACCGTATTGAATATTGAAAATGTATTCGCTTTATTCTATGCGTATTCGTATGCGAATGCGTATGCGTGTAAGTAAAGTAAAAAGTAAAGTTTCCCTTTCAAACCTGACGGTCTATGGGGCAAGTGAAGTAGAGTTCACTTGTTTCTGTGACCTCGGCATATGAAGAGATAGTGTGGTCAGCACTATGCCCAGCCGCCTTTACTCTCCCTAACGTGAGTTAGGTACCCATCAGAGTTGGGTGGACTCAGGGACGGTCTACTGACTTGAACCCGGATTCGAACTCGAGACTTACGGGTTAGCAGTCCAGCTCTCTACCGCTAGACCACTCCGTCCCACGCGTATGCGTGTGCGTATGTGTATATGTTGGAGGGTGAGGGGGAGGGGGTAAGCGGTTGAGTGACTGACACCTTCAGAAAACGTACAGGTTGATGGCCGACCTTGTGACCACTAAGTAAACACATTTTTGTTTACTAAATTATTTACTAAGAATGGTCAACGTTGAGTAGTCCTAAATATATTTTCATTAATATATATATATATATATATATATATATATATATATATATATATATATATATATATATATATATATATATATATATATATAGATATATAGATATATATACATTACCAATGCAAAAAACTGCTTAAATTTTGGTTCTAACATTATGGCAAAATCTTCCGTCACACTTCCTAAAACTGTCCTCTGCCAGAGTGTGACATCATTTACGGTTAAACCCTAGCAAAAATACTCAAGTGAGAGATGAAGGAAACAGAAATAGAGGCCAAGATCCCAAGGAAGATTTACGACTTATTAATATGATAAATGCAAATATCAAAAACGTTTTGCAAATATTAACATTTCAAATATTAATCAACAAATTCTATTCAACGAGTACAATGATTTATACAGTTATAACCCCCTCCCCCCTCTAAGAGCTGACCACATCTTCCCTTCATATCCCGAAGCAGTGGCGTAGCGAGGTCGGGTGTTACCCGGCGCGGCACTTAATGGTGGCACCCCCCCAGAGGCGCCCGGGGACAAACTTGCAATTTTCGATTTGCACCCCTCCTCCTCCAACCTTGTTGGGATTTGTCAAATTTACTCTTAAAAGACTTTTTAACACTCGAATTAATCACTTAATTAAGTGGAATTGTCATTTTTCTCTATATATTATGCTATGTTTTGCCTTGGTGTCACCCCCCTAAATGGTGTCACCCGGTGCGGTCCGCCGTCCGCCCCCACCCCCATCTCGCTACGCCACTGTCCCGAAGTAAATAACGTATGAACCATATGAACTCAAACTGAGTCTACAGCGTGTGAGACACTCTTTTTTTAAAAGTCCTTTTCCGAACTTGAAACTGGTCGTCTAGTCGGGTTCAAAAATTACATTTCTAGACACTTCACTCAATAACAACCTTTTAAATTCCAACGTTAATAAATGATTTTCAAAACTATTTAGTCTCAAAGGCTGAAACGCAGTTTCTAAACAAAGTTTACTGAAATCTTAAATCTTTAAGCACGCTATTAATGCTATATATTTTTAAACTGCACCAATGTATGCAAGTCCGTATTTTCATTTGCGTCTTTTGCCTGCGAGCATGGCTGATTTTCAAAACGTTTTTGAATTGTATCTAAATGTTCCTTTTGAATATAAACCCAGTGTCATAGTTCAAAAATGCTTATCGTCTACATACCACACCACCTCTGTTGCTTTATATTTCTTTTTTTTTTCTTTTTGCGCGGTATCTACTAAGCCACATTTCTGATTTTCCCACGTTGCTTCAATTGCGTAAAATATACTTGTTAAATATATCTCACTGTGCTAGTTTGCTCTGAAGATTATATTTTATTTACCTGTACCAGAAACCCTTTAATATTAAAAAAGTGGCAGAGCACATTTCCTTAATTTTGTATCATACTTATCTTATTTTGCCTCTGCAATCAATTGTAGTATTAAATACATTTAAAAGAAAAGCGACAATAAAGTATATTTTTAAAAAATTAATTATACATTCACTTGATTGTGGAATCTTGAAATTACAAAAAAACTCTATATAATACGTTTAAGTTTACGTGTGTGTGTACGTGTGCGTGTACGTGTGCGTGTACGTGTGCGTGTACGTGTGCGTGTACGTGTGCGTGTACGTGTGCGTGTACGTGTGCGTGTACGTGTGCGTGTACGTGTGCGTGTACGTGTGCGTGTACGTCTGCGTGTACGTGTGCGTGCACGTGTGCGTTTACGTGTGCGTGTACGTGTGCGTGTACGTGTGCGTGTACGTGTGCGTGTTCGTGTGCGTGTACGTGTGCGTGTACGTGTGCATGTACGTAAACGTACACCCGAACATTTTCATGGAAATAGTCATAGTCATGGACGTGAAAGTGAACATGAACGTGAACGTGATCGTGAACGTAAACGTGAAGGAGAACGTAAACGTAAACGTAAACGTGAACATGAACGTGAACGTGAACGTGAACGTGAACGTGAAAGTGAACGTGAACGTGAACGTGAACGTGAAGGGAATGGGAAAGGGAAAGGGAAAGGGAAAGGGAAAGGGAAAGGGAAAGGGAAAGGGAAAGGGAAAGGGAAAGGGAAAGGGAAAGGGAAAGGGAAGATGAAGATGAAGATGAAGATGAAGATGAAGATGAAGATGAAGATGAAGATGAAGATGAAGATGAAGATGAAGATGAAGATGAAGATGAAGATGAAGATGAAGATGAAGCTGAAGCTGAAGATGAAGCTGAAGATGAAGATGAAGATGAAGATGAAGATGAAGATGAAGATGAAGATGAAGATGAAGATGAAGATGAAGATGAAGATGAAGATGAAGATGAAGATGAAGATGAAGATGAAGATGAAGATGAAGATGAAGATGAAGATGAAGATGAAGATGAAGATGAAGATGAAGATGAAGATGAAGATGAAGATGAAGATGAAGATGAAGATGAAGATGAAGATGAAGATGAAGATGAAGATGAAGATGAAGATGAAGATGAAGATGAAGATGAAGATGAAGATGAAGATGAAGATGAAGATGAAGATGAAGATGAAGATGAAGATGAAGATGAAGATGAAGATGAAGATGAAGATGAAGATGAAGATGAAGATGAAGATGAAGATGAAGATGAAGATGAAGATGAAGATGAAGATGAAGATGAAGATGAAGATGAAGATGAAGATGAAGATGAAGATGAAGATGAAGAT